CTTACTTCTTTGGGTATTGGGAAAGAAATTCATTTGTCATCACTCTTGTTGCTACATCTCTCCGTAATATTTTTAGCACACTATAGTTAACTATACAATAGCAATAGCAATCCCCAAGTTTGCCTTAAGATATCTCCGCAAACACTCATAGATACGGCAACGTTCCGATAAAAATGAGATAACGTGATGTTTTTCATGAGAAACAAATTCTAAAGAATATGAATTCCAATGCTGTGACTACATATTGGCTAGGTTCAAACTTGGCTCCGATAGCCAATGATTGGGTCAAAGTGTGCACCCCATTGGCTCCAGGTTCACACTAGCTTTTTTTTGTTCGTCAGGAAATGCATGAAATTGCATTAAATTCTCTGTTTTATCTAATTTTCTGGTTAGCTGGAAGAGAATGCCACATGGCACTAAGCTCGCCTGTTGTACCACTGTTTTTTAAGTGTGCAATAAAGATTTTAAACAAATAAATAAATTACATACCCACTGGCCCGGAACCAGGAAATGGAACCAGTGAGTTATGTGAGGCTCTCCCTGGCCAGATGGGCAGGGCCTACTCACTAAAACCTGACGGTGTCCTCCCGTATTTGGGACGGAGCTGCGAGTTATTGTCCGAGCTAGACGGCCTAGACATTCAGGTTCACACTAGCTGTTCTAATCCTCGCGTATTCTCTCTCTTCATTTCGCCACATTGGCTTCAAGACTACATTTTGGAGCAAAAACTGGTCTTGTGGATATCCACATATATTCCTATCCACAGTCAAGTTACAAGATTAGTCACCCCTAGGTTTGGTAAAGTCAGTGTCAAATAGTTCGTGACAAATAAAGTGGCCAAAAAGTTGACAACACAACCACAAACACAACTTTATTCCAAATTGTAACAAAGACGTGTTGCGTGCAGACTTATAGGCTACTTTGGGTGCCACGAACTATTTGATGCTGACTGTATTAAAGCGCATGTGTAATATGTATACCCGACCAAACCCCATTTTTGGATTTTTTCTACCATAATATAATATCTCCTTCTGTCCGTCCTTAACTTTAAAGACACCCATGTCGAAAAAAAATACTTTTCCCCGTAGCTGCCAGTGTTGCCAGGTGATCGAGATGAAAATGGTCAAATGTCACTTGTCCGACCCTTTTGCAGGAGGCGTCATCCAAATTTTTGACCGGAAGTCGTTATTTCCACTTTCGACATTTTTGGACCAAATCTGACTGTATTAAAGCGCATGTGCACTTAAAACAGGATTTCAAATTCCACCTTTTTGGTTGCGTAGGTTCACACTTGCAAGGTTATTTGGTAAAAGAAAGAGATCAAGTAATTGGCTGAATAATTGCAATTCTTTCTTCAACCTTGTCACCATTTGGATTGTTATTTCACCAGAATACAACATACGTGCTTAAATTATCATTTCGAAAGTAATAATCTAAGACGAACTAATGTCACCACTTTCTTTAAATCTCTTCATACATATTTAACTAGAAATCATCTTTAAACTATGCAATCTTCATAGCTTATGATGGCATCATCTATGTATGTAATTTTCATCCAGAATTAAAATTTAAAAGTGTCACCAATTAATTTTAAAGTGATTTGAAATGTGTCGCATCGATAAAACCAGATGTTAATAATAGAACCATAACAAAAAAACTTAGACGTAATTTTAGACAGTGCTTTCGTAACAGATGCCGATCAAATCTAGATTTGGTGAAAGGTCACGTGCGTAGCTCATGAGTGCAATAACCTAAAATTATCTAATAACAACATCTATTTGGGTGTGAAGGTTGCTGCTTCATTACCTTCTGATTATTATGCAGGCTTAATTTTTAAGAGACATTTAGGGGTCGCTACCAAGGTTTGAATTTTAAGTAAAAACAAAATCTGTATTTGTTACATTCATTTATTTTTAAAGCCAAAGCCAAATAAAAATATTACAAAATTATTGTTGTTGCTATGAACTAAGATATTATGTACAATGTACATATTTGAATCAATTATTTTTAAGATATAAGAGTTAACTTGTTAGTATCTCGACGCGTCGGTACCATGGTCGGTACAGAAGAGGGGTTGAGGGGAGAAGGGGACAAGAAGCGATTGTCTATTCTATCTATGCGATGTTCATTTGCACGTAAAATGTGATATAAACACTTAAATAAAACATTTATGAAACCATGATTTAAGATCTTCAAAGCTTTTGTAAATATTTTGACAGCTGGTAGCGACCTCTAAATCTTAAGCAAAAAAAAAAAAGCTAATTTCATATTTAGAGGTATATAATCGAATGAGAAAGTGCCCCGGGAATAATTCAAAAGTCGAAAAATAAGGACCACCCTAATGACTAGGTTTCTGTCCAAAAAAGTTATGACGACGGCAACTAAATTAATACTAATCCGGTTGGCTAAAACTAAGTCAAACGCCTGTGAAAATACTATGTCTAATAACAGTGTGTGCGTCCAGTAGTTCGTGACACTCAAAGTGGCCAAAAAGTTGACAATACAACCTTATTCTAGTTGTAACAAAGACATGTTTAGCGAACTTTCTGGCTACTTTGGGTGTCCTATTTGACGCTAACTGTTAGTACTAAAAAAAAAATGCACAAACATCTATTAATCAACTATTTGCAAACCTGTCTACCTGAATCAATTTTATCATCAGGCCTTGTCTGAAGATAACTGTATCCGACCGTCATTTGAAACCTTACAACCAGATTTTAAATCGACTTATGCTAATCTTTTTATGTATAATCTAATGAATGAGTCATTTCTCTAGATTCTCACGGCCAAACAATGATTGTAAATTATTCTCGGTGGGGACGAAATGGAGGCGAAGACGGTAGGCTTGCTATTAATGAACCATGATGGCAATAGAATCTAGCAAAAGAAAATCTCGATTAAGTCGACTTGAGGATGAAAGGAAGACCTTTCATTGCCTAAGTCCGACTTTGGTATAGACTAAACTATCAATAGGCCTCTGACACGGCTGGCAGACATATAACAGGGTCGTGTGCCTGTGCAGTATGCACGTATTCCTTTTCCTCCACTGCCGGAATACGACTCAATCTTCATGCTGGCCAGATAAGTTGGAGAGGCCTGATGTTCGCATCTTTCTTCCGTAGTCGCCTAACGACATCCACGGAAAGAGTGGTGGTGATACTATTTTACTCTGCCAGAATAACAAGGCAATTCCCATTTAAAGAGTTCCATATTTTCCTAGAGTTCGTAAAAAAGGATAATTTTCTTAAAACAAATTCAACTCACAATACTTTTTGGCCAATCAGGATTTAAACCTACTGAAGTTTCTCCTATATTGTGTTCTAGCCGTTAAGTTTACACTTAACTACGTTTCAGTATCGGATACCTTAGTATTAATAGGCGGAACGATATTATTAAACGCCATCTTGTGTAAAATAGAACGTTTGAAAATTTTCGCGCGCTCATTCATTAGTGTTGCAATTTTTAATTTTTTTCTACCATTTTTGCAATGGCTGACTTTAAATCAACTTTATAACAAAACATCATCTTATTGTATAAGTAATTCGCATGTAATTTTTTGTAACTTTTTCATCAAAATAAGTTATTTAATCTCTAGAAGAAAACGAGATAAGCACTTGAAAAAAATTTTGACGGGTTTGCTGAATGCTTAGAGGTCACGAAAGTTCAATGAAAAGCAGAGGTTCCGTGTTCGCAACTGAGGCAATCTTTCAAATCTAATTAATTTCGTTGCGGGTCCAATCGGTTTTTCTTTCCCCCGGGACAAACTTTACCTCACTGGTTGGGTTTTTATTGCCGGTCAAGCTGTAGATCCTGGATACACAGGAGTTGCAGCGGTGGGAATGAGAGATAGGAAATGGGAATAATCATGTTTCCACCGGGACAAACTTGGCCTTCACTCACTGGTTGGGTTACTGGCGGTCAAGTTGTAGATCCTGGCTACGCAGGAGTTGCAGCGGGAACGAGTGGTAGAATTTTAGACCGTTTATGTATGAACTTGGTGACTCTCTGAGACGACTATCCCAACTAATATTATAAATGCGAAAGTAACTCTGTCTGTCTGTCTGTCTGTCTGTTACGCTTTCCCGCTTAAACCTCGCAACCGATTTTGATGAAATTTGGCATAGAGATAGTTTGAGTCCCGGGAAAGAACATAGGATAGTTTTATCCCGGTTTTTGAAACAGGGACGCGCGCGATAAAGTTTTTCTGAGACAGACAAAATTCCACGCGGGCGAAGCCGCGGGCGGAAAGCTAGTAATTATAATAAATACTTCAAACAATGACATAGCGACTGGATCTCATGCAGTATCTTGTTTGTCACACGACGAACAATAGCCGAAAATAAACAACTACCAAGAGTTTATTGAATAGGTGTTATTTAAACATCGAGGCGTTTAGAAATTGTGATCTTTGTGGAATAGAGAATATTAAAATCGGAATAAAGCAAAAAAAGAAGATTTTTATGAAAGAAGTATTAAGGCTCTTTTACACAACGATCCAGTTCTGTGGGATCCAGTAACGCAGGATCCCACAAACTGTGTCTGTTTGACATTCGAAGTTGAATTGGTTTTTTGCGGGACATTACAAACGGGATGTTCGTGTGATGAATGTAATTAAACGTATACTTACTGTTAAATGGGATCCTGCAAAAACAGTTCCGGATAAAAACTGGATATCTTCGTGGGAAAAAGCCCTAAAGGAATTTTATCTAAAGAAAAAAAAAAAGCAAAGTGCCTAGACAATTACAAATACGACAGTTGCGATTCCAAAATCGCTTCGTCCAGGGTTTCTTTAGGTTACTTCGCTCCGTGTGCTATTTCGAAATTATAACTTTATTTTGTCACTTTGTCTAGGGGTCAAACCCCTGACAAGTTACAAAACGTGATATTTTTGCGACGATTGAACTACCAATCTTTCCGACACTGACATCGTTGGTCTTAATTATATTTAGTCAATTATATTATATTTTCTCTTATTTACCACATAAATGATTGTTTTTCAGTGACCACAGCCCCACAAAACACCATGATATCAGCCGTGAACGAATTTCTAGACGATCTCCGGTGAGTTGCATTTTATGCAGCTGAAATGTAACTAACGCTTGACTAACTAACTTAGTTTTAGTGGAATGCAACTAATTTAACTTTGCCTAACATAATTTAATTGTAAATAACGGTAGCATTCATGGGACACTGTAGATGTTCTCCTGCTTTTAACAAAACAGATATCTATGTAACAAAACCTACTTAAATTTTATCTGTAAAATGGCTTAGGTTTTATAGATGTGGATTTTATCTGTCGGCAATACCTAGGGTGGCATTATTGTGTGTCATGTAAGCTATAAATTACTGTATTTTATTGAAAAAGAGGCTGACAAAGGTGACTGAGTTTCTTCCGCCACTTCTTCTCAGCATCAGCCCATAATATGTAGTCCCGAAGTGGTGGTAGGGCAAGCTATATTTGGGACGTGTTTAAATGCCCTAAAAAGGGCCTAATGTACTGAATAAACTCATTGAATTTTGAATTTGTTGCTAGAATTGGCCTTAGACTGTAATATTTGAGGGTACTGCAAAGGGGCAGACTTTCTTCCAATCGGGAGGATTCATCCAATGTCTTTTTATCTCCTACATGTGTAAAGTATCTCCTACATTTTTCTTATTTTTCTTAAAGTAGTCATGACCATGTCCACCCTACGGCGACGGCTCATCATTGAATTTTGGGACAGTATGTAGCCAGATATGTAGGCAACTTCCAATAGGCTAGTTTCCTAAAAAAATTGTTTAGTCCGTCAATTTTAATATAAAAAAATATTGGACACCTATATTTTGAATTTTCAATCAAACAAATAATTACAAAGTTATAGTGCGTTGAAGTTCCGCGCGACGTCACAAAGTGCTGCACTTTTACGCACTCACTGACGTCACGGGCCTTTACTTTAGAACTTTGGCACGCTTATCTCTTTACATTTTCATTACTTTTAAAAAGTGACAAATACGTGTCGAGTAGTTTTTGATAAGCTAACTGACGGACTAATTAAAACTCTTGCTTTTTTACCCAGGAAACATCCCTATTGTTCCAGTAGGTACCTCAGGAAAACTGTTAGCTCCATATGGAAATCATTTTACATACTCAAGAGTCTGAAATCAATCAATGTATAGTAAAATAAGCCTATTAGTACAGACGTCATATCAATCCAAACAGTAGCTCTTGCGTATTTGTAATAAGTGCGATATTCCAACAAAAATGTACACTCTGATGAGCCACTGTCCATTCACGTATGCGTCCGTGAGAACCACCAGTCACGACACGCGGCGGTGCCGATGTGATGTGCCTGCTAATCTGATTATTGGACTGTCTGATATTTATAGAATTTAGAGGAATGGTGATGAAAACGAACGTTGCTGTACATGGAAAAGATGGTATTGGGCACAGTGCCGGATTAATCCATAAGGAAATTAAGCAGTTGCTTAGGACATGACGTCTTGGGGGCACCGCGAATCAATCAAGACATGTAAAGACGCTCATTTGTAATAAATACGAATTTTTTGGGGCCTAGGCACACAGGTATGGATTGCCTAGGTAATAGGCAGTTTTCACACAATTTCACATTGTAAAATTGTAATTGATGTATGTAGGTACCTACATTTCACGCTGCTGTTATCATCATCATGAGTCTCCACTGTAGGGGACTATGATCCTCTCGTATTGACCAGAGGCAAATAGTTAATGACACACAAAGTAGCCAATAATGTCAACTTTTGGCCACCTTGGGCGTACCACGAAACTTGCGAACTAATTGACGCTGTCTATAGTATAGGTACGTACGTTGTTAACAAATGAATCAATCTAGGTATCTATCAAATCTTTAAGATCTACGAGCTACCCAAGAAAACGATTTAAAATAATTGTTGATAGGTTTATGTAGCATTAAGTAAGCATTAGAAGCCCTGACTTCATGCGAATGATCGGTAATAACATTACGTATTGTTGTGATTTAGAACTCTAGTTTGCTCAGAACCTTAGTTATTGCACAACCGTACGTTACACTATGTTATCTCAGTCTTACAAAGATACATATTCAGTCCAAACTCAAATCTAGAAGCCTTAAATGTTGGTAATAAGGTTGCATTTAAAACTGGTTCAGTTTACGTCGTACGGAATTAAATTTGTGTTGTTGGTTACGCTATATTTTTAGCATAATTTGCACCATCTATCATGTCACGAACCTGATAATTGTTCTTGAAAATTCCATTGTTAGTTTCATCTTCAGTGTTCGTTTAACCGTAAAAGGAACACGCGGCGATCCAAATTTGAATTTTGAATTATTTTTTTACGTTTGAGTGTTGCCAGTTGAATCAGAGTGTAGTTTTAGTAGTTTTTTGGACAGTTTATGGCCAGAAGTTTGGAAGAGTTGATTTTGTTGAAAAGATTCGCGTTGCGTTACTTGATTGCTAGGGAATCTAGACTCTTGGCGTTAGGCAAAAGGCCTGTTAATAAGAAAATTGCCAATTTCGTTCGCACTCATCAAGAGAACTCGGTGTGGTCGAATTTCTGTGACTCCCTGCACGAGGATTTGACAAGGAACATCAATGTCTTCGAATGGAAGTCAGAGGCGCATAAGCAGAATATAAGGAGGTCTTATAGGCTGAATTCCGAGTCTAGGGAGGTTTTGACTCATTTCAATATGATGTTACGGTAAGTAAGATGTCTTCAATCTTTCTTTTGTTTTTGTGACACTGGAGATCTTTTTATAGTTTCCATTTTAACTGACTTTTTTGGGTGTTATTTTTTTTGGAACCAACAAATTTTCCATGTAGATATTGCGTCATTGCTTGATTTTCTATATAAATTAATATTACACATGGTCAGACTATTACAAGTTTGCAAGAAGTAAAAAATTTAGAACGACACAATTCAGGCGATCTTATTAGTCTAGGAAGCGTCTTTTGAAAGATAAAAGCAACCCAAAGATAGGACAAATGGAATAAAAACATAACTCTCCTTCTGACGCAGTCGGGTAAAAAGAGGATTTCCAGACGTCTGTAACATGTTTTCAAAACACGCAGTTCAGTAAGTGTACTCGTAGGTAGGCCTCGCATTCGGTGGACAGACGATCCAGTGAAGGTCGCGAAAAGCACCTGGATGCGGGCAGCGCAGGACCTATTAGAACTCCTTGGGGGATTCCTTTGTCCAGCGGTGGACGTCATTTGACTGAATGGAAAGACCTCGATTCAGAATCATTCGATATTTCAATTAATCATTCCATTTTAGTTATCGAATGATCTGAAAAACCTACAGATGAGCACAGCGATATGACTGTATTAATTAAAATGAAAAGTAAGATAAAGTCACCTAATTTAGAGAAATTTTATCAATACGTGAATAATTAAATTAATTACAATCATGATAGACAATCGTCCATTGCTACTTCACTTGAAATACTTTGATAAAAGTGTAACGATATGCAAATAATGAACGTAATGGTTTGCAATCGTGCCAAACAGGAATGATAAAGATTTCAATTCAGAGGTAATAAAGAATTCAAAGGCTAGGCATCTATTATGTTTTTGCTTTCAAAAAGCGCTTTGATACAACCCAGTATGTTTCGGCACAATAAATGGGGCAGTGCTGAGAAGAAGCACCGCAAGAAACTCAGTCACCATCAGCCTCTTTTCAAATACCAGAGCGTAAGAAGGGAATGTAACCCAAATCCTCCATTTACTTCTAGTAAATTAGGAGGTCAATCCTTTGCAGTAAAGATCGTTTCATCCACGAAGACGCGCCCCACCAAAATTTAAATAAATAAATAATTAAGAAGGGAATGTAACCCAAATCCTCCATTTACTTCTAGTAAATTAAGAGGTCAATCCTTTGCAGTAAAGATCGTTTCATCCACGATGACGCGCCCCACCAAAATTTGGTCGAGGGAAGCGCGGGGTGCGGGGAGTTTGATCCGAGCAATCCGAGCGTCATTATTGTAGTGTATGTGCACTCATGGATAATTTAGCGTGTACCGATAACACTCAAACATTAGCGGAAGAATGGTGGGGCGCGTCTTCGTGGATGAAACGATCTTATAGACTAAATGACCTGATGATGATGATGTCATCATCATCAGCTGCCTTGATCATTCTAGGCAGAACTGTTATTAATATCAAAGGTTTAAATTTTGCCACTGTTACATTACACAGGCTACTGACTGGTGGGAAACTTAACCTATCTTATGACATCCTTGGACTGCGGTTTTGTTGCGATGCCATACGAAGTAATACATACTATGCTTATAAGTATACCAATCCCAATCCATATACCAGCTGTGCCCGCGACTTTGTACGCGTGAAAATAGTTTAAATATTTCCCGTTTGTGCAACATTTTTCTGTACTGCTCCACCCCTTTTGGCTGGAGGGTGATGTTATAAGCCTATAAATGGGCTATCCAACACAAAAAGATTTTTTCAAATCGGACCAGTAGTTCCTGAGATTAGCGCGTTCTACCATACGTTCCACCGTTCCTTGTGAAGAGTTGACTATGTGGCATATCCACAGAAACCCTTGTAGAAATATTAATATTAACAAAATATTGTTTATAAGATGTAAGTACATTTTATTGCCTCTTTCATTGAAGTACTTTCAAATAACTACTACAGTGTTATCGATCGACAAACAGCGAAAAGTCAATAATATCATTCATCTTACGAAATACACATGTACGAATCATATTGATATCTTATCAGCCACGATATCTGATAGATAGCTCGCCAAATCCAGTCATACGAATCCTTTTGTTCGAGTAGATTGTGTGGTTTTTGGACTTTTGGATTATTTTTGAAGAGGTAAGTTAGTTTTTATATTTTGCAAGCCATTTAGAATCGTTAACGGGACTATTCCCACCTCTCGTTCCCATCGCTGCAAGTCCTGTGTAGCCAGGATCTACAGCTTGATCGCCAATACCCAACCAGTGAAGGCCAAGTTTGTCCCGGAAAGTTAAACTGTCATTAGACCAGCAACGAAATTAACCAGAACATAGGAGTTTGAGGTTAAGGTTCGACTTCCCTCCAGTGCA